GGAGACCAGTAATTACAAAGGAAATTCTTCCATTCCAAGGATCTGGCCCGTTTCGCCCGCAGCGGAGAGACACCTTTGGCGAAAAGGATGGGTCAAGTGCAACCCGAAGCACCGTACTGGGAGAAAACTCGGAGACCAAAAATACTGACGGGGGAAAAGTGGAAGACAAATGCAAAAGAATGCGCCAAGGGATCACAATGTAGTGGGAAATGAATGGGAGACAAACAGGGGACAAATGCAAAACCATGCGGCCAAGGCACCCAAAGGGAGACAAGTGGGAGAGAGTGGGAGACAAGTAAGAGACAAGTGTAGAATCGTGCAGCCCAGAGCACCCACAGCGCACAGGGAGACTGTGTGGGACAAGTGAGAGACAAGCAGGAGACAAGTGTAGAATCATGCGGCCCACAGCACCCACACGCCCAGGAACGCAAGCTTGGGGACAGAGCCAAAATCATGCGGCCCAGGCACGCAACCCTTTCACAGGAGCAAGAACCCCATACAGGTAAACCTGTTTGGGGAAATATGCAGTCATCTTGGTTATACTATTATACATCCCAGTCCCATAAAATAGTCCCATTGTGGTCGGTTTCTTCCCCACCTTTGTTAGAATAAAATCCGGATCTGAAGACAAACCCTCATAGGTTTGTCTTAAAAATATGGGAAGCCCTCAAAATCCAGCGGTTTGAGAGAATTTTCATATCTCAAAAAAAATGGTTTCAACTCCATGCGGAAACGAATCTCAGAACCTCATTTTCACCCGTTGAAAACGAGCATTTCACGGGACGGACATTCGCACCACGTCGATCACTGAGCAGCCCGTCTCCTGTGGTCGCGCCAGCATCACCTGGCCATTCAATTTGGATCCCACAAAATCCTGGATTTAGTGGAATTCACGGCTTCCTGCAGTGAGAGGTCTAAAAAATATCATCCGAGAATGGCAGTTGATCAATCCTGGGTAAATTCCCATGAAATACCCAATATGAGGTACACTCCCCATGTTCATTTACATATTATGCCCCACTATCATTATTACCGTACTACTGGTACCTATGAAATGGTGAATTGTTACGTGCGGGTGATCCCACTCCCAGACCCCCAGATTTGTCCAGGAGTCACCCATTGGGACATCTTGAGCATCGGCCCTGGGCGGCGCACCGTGGCCCTCCGTTTATAGCCACGTTTTGATTAGCGGAGGGTAGACCAGGGGGTTGGCACATGTGAAATGTCCTGATTTTTCACATCAACGCAAAAGAGGATGGGGAAAATCTCCAACAGATAGGGCCTATTACAAGTGATGTGAAAGAAGAACCCGAAACAACATTTACCCACCCCTGTAGAAAAGATCCTGCCAAGATTTCCCGATGAATCGGATGATTTGACATTATTTATGGTATAATTCACCCCACACTGAACATCATTCACGTCTAAGTTGTTGTGAGCTCGCTATAATTTGTGAGGTCGCCAAAAATACTCTAGCCAGGTCCATAGCTTTCAATGACCCCAAAAATTCAAACAGATTTCCATGGTTTCAACATGTTTGAACCATCTCAAGGTCTCAAGGTTCCCATCCCAAAGGAATCTTTTTAGTTGGCAACTCTGGGCCATGAAAAACTGCGTGGAATCCTTCCCGATTCCGGCGGAACTCATTGGATTAAGAAAATAAATACATCTTTCTTCAAAAAGTGAAGAATACTTTACTAATTAATTGTCAAATACAAACATATCTTTTTCTTCATAGACTTTTCATTGCTAATTGGAAAATACTAATTGGCTGAACTATGTTTCATGGTCAGTTCATTGCTCTTCAACTTGGGCCCTATCGACTCTCGACTGCTCGACAGATTTCTGCTCATGTTTCCTTGAGAGTATGGGCATCGTCTTTGGTGGGGATTGCAAGTGCTGCCTCACAGCTTTGTTTGTTGCTTCATAAACCCCATGAACTATAAATATATCCCTTATCATGGATATCTACCATAAGCCCTACTGGCCCTACTGAAGCCACTGAACTAAACCAACTTTGCTAAGTAGGGGGCAGCACCTTGTGGTTAGTGGATTCACCACTATTTCACCAGACCGCGTCTCAAGGGCTTGTTTTTTTTCGTGACTTTTCCCACTTGGAGGATCATTCAGTCGTGACCGGCCAATAACCCTGGTTGCTCACCAGTTCCGAATCGGGGGACGGCGATTCGTGGGATGATCCACCAACAATTCCCCGGCGCTGCACGAAGCTGCCCTAGCTGCGTCCCCAATCTGAGCGTCCGCACATCTCAACGCCGCGGCGTGGCGTGGCTTTCAACTGAACCAAGGATCTACGGAGTCCAAGATTTTTCGCTGCAGGGATGGTGGAACCAAAAATTCATCCCATCCCCTCAATAACCATGAAAAATGAGGCTTAATATATGGGATTATATGGGGTATATTGGCCAATCTGATCTTAAATCTCCCTTCTGGGCCCCAAAAAAATTGAAAACAAAGACCGACCGATTCTCGGGATTGATCTATTTCATATTGAAAGGGTGGGATGTATGGCAAAATCTACGTCATCTCACACACTGGCTTAACATTTGGTTAGTGTAAACATGTGTGCAACATTGTGCAACTGTATACCATACCCATTTGATCCCATTTGGGTATGTCAATTTTGGGGTGCGGCCTGTGTTGGTGGTTTTCTTAAGGGCCGGCCGAACTGAGCACCATTTCCGTCGCACGGATGATCCCAAAAACACGACGAGCGTGTCCGTCTGTCCGTCTGTTTCCAGAACGGCGGGCTTCCACTGGTCCAAAATGAAGGGGAAAATGACTTTTTGTCACAAGACCAACAGCTTCACCGCAGTTGAAACACTGTGGAGGTTTCAGTTTCTGTCTGGATTTTTGTTCTACTGCTCTTTTCATGGCAATTCCCAATGATCACATGTAGTCCAGATCAAACTGGAGACAACTTACCGACGTCAGCTCCCCCTCACCACCAGGGGGAACAAGATGGCACCTTCCTGCCATCGATGAAGTGGTGAGTTGTTGGCTACAGAGATGGCCTATGGGGAGTTCCAGTTCACAGACCATGATGATCGTTTTTGTTGACGTGCAGTACCAGTAGTGCCCGCACGAGGCGGGGCGGAAGTTGCCTTAAAGATATATATAAGACCTTTCTCATCTATAGAACTTGCATGCGCCGTGCGCCAGCCAAGCCCGTCCGTGCATGCATTCTTCGAAAGCGGTGTCCTGTTTCACATGTCACATTTGAAGCTCCACTTCGCTCTTCACGCTTCACACTCCGCACTTCACACTCCACACTCCACACTCCACACTTCACGCTTCCCACTGCACACTCCACACTTCACACTTCACACAACACACTTCACACTTCACAGTCCACACTTCACACTTCACACTCCACACTTCACACTTCACGGTCCACACTTCACACTTCACACTCCACACTTCACACTTCACACTCCACACTTCACACTGCACTCTTCACGCCCCACACTTCACACTGCACCCTTCACACTCCACACTTCGTCTCGTCTGAGCTCTTCTCACCTTATCCCAGCTCATCTCTTCTCATATGGTTGTTGATCAAAATTCCTTTTTCCCGGAACGGCCATTCTTCGCGAATAAAAATTTTACTTTCGCGAAACTCTCGCGAACTCCATGTTTATCTTTCGCGGGGCCCATGTTGGCCAACAACACCTCTTATGAAGATTCGTTCACCACCTGCCAAATTACGCCAGAGAATCACGGATCACTTCTTGGTAGCCTTTTAAACATGCAGCTAGCATCACGGAATCCCTTCTCAGGACAGATTTTTTTTTGCAAAGTTTACTGGCCCACCCCCTTCAACATGCACTTTGACTTTCGCCCGCTCTTTCGCATAACTTTCGCGAAAATATCCCTATTCACAGACCCCGGCCATCAGCAGGGGGTGCACTGAAGGAAAAGCGAAGACCAGGGGCCTTGGTGTTTGGCTCTCGCAAAGCCTCACTTTTGGAAACTTGGCTGCTGCTACTCGCATTCTCTGGTCTGGTGCCCTTCTCCTGCCGGACCCCGGGCGGCAGTGGGTGGCAGCCCTTTACATACTCCGAACCGTTAAAGTCGACCAATTTAACAGAATTGTGTCAAATCTCATTGGGACTTTCGCGAAACTTTCGCGAAATAAAATTTTACTTTCGCGAACTCGAAAAAAACTTTCGCGAGGGTTTCCAACATAACATGCACGGCTTTCGCAATTAAAACTCCTTACAAGGACCTTTAGATCGATCATCATATATGTCATCTAAGCTTTCATGAATCACTTCCCAGTACTACTACTAAGGAACTTGCGTGTGCCGTGCGCCAGCCATTCCCGTCCGTGCGTGCTTTGTGCGAAGCTGTTGCAGTGTTGCTGTCCAAGAACATGACCTGCGCGCGACCCGGGTACAATGCAAACACTTTCCTCACACTTCACATTGCACTCTTCACACCCCACACTCCACACTTCACACTTGCACTTCATCTCAACTCATCTCATCTGAGCTCTTTTCAT